AAGAGCAGTGGGGCTACGATTGTGATGACTATGCTGGGTACACCAATTGCAATCAGGTACGTCAGTAACGTTTCCTTTGTCATGTATATATATTTTGGAAGCAACATTGAACTTCCCCTAACAGGGAGCATCTATCTCTTCTATGTCACACATACCAGTGTTACAAGTTTGAGACTCACACAACTATGGAGCCAGCAACAGAGGCAGATTTGAAGGCTGCAACGCGTCAAGGCACCATTCTGGCGATTCGAGTCGACGGGAAGCGGTATGGACATGGTTGGGTGGATGGAGGGTGGTTTCAGAAAGTCCCAGGATGGGTTAAAGCCCTTTTTGGGATTCTTGGGTGGATGGTTGTGGTTACCTCCTTGACCCTGTTTTGGAAGTATGTGATACCGGTGATTTCCGGCTTGTTTGGCAGCTTCATGGACATGGTATTCCCGGTTTGGTGGCGACGAAAACTCCCGTCTGCCTTCAAAGAACACTTTCATATTGAAGCCGAGGTCAAACCAGAACCAGAAGAGGATGGCTTTCTCAAGAGGAAGAAGCCCGTGTCGTACGTCTACACTTAGGAATCCGATCGATGATTGTTTGGAGGAAGGGACCTAGGTGTTGTCACTCCAGCACCTGTCCAACCAACCTGTCAAAACGTGCAGGCAGCTTTTTGAGGCAGTACCCGCGAGAACGCTCCTAATTGCAATAGATTGTAACCGATTACTTCAAAGAAGAGTGTTTCTTCCCTCCTCTTCAACTTATGCGTTGTCTTGGGTTGGTTGCATTGTTCGTTTGCTTGGTGCTTTCCTCGGTCGACGTCGTGACAAACTTGACTCTTTACTCCCCTTGTTGACCTTTCAAACGAGGAGAATTCTGGTTACAAAAGATATCCATGCACGAATGATCGTTTCGGAAGATTTGTAAGGGATTTGATGTTTTTCCAAAACATTACTTTGATTTGATGAAAGCGAACGTGCGGTGCGATCAGACGACGAGCAGAGCGACAAGCCGAGCTGACAAACGATACCAGACTGGTACCTCTAATAGGACAGACGGCACCATGATGAAGCAACTGATTGCATTGGCGTTTCTCTCTACCATTTCAGTGGCTTCTTCTTCCACTAACTATAAGCCCCTCTACTATGACAGAATGATACATTTTTCGCCGGATGGCCGGTTACTTCAAGTGGAGTATGCTGCCACAGCCGCAGAGAATTCGTCACCACTCATAGTTTGCCAATTGGGTTGTTGTGACAACACAATGGTAGCCATGACGTGTTCACGGTCTCCGTCGAATAGTGCCAGTAGTAGACACCACCAAAGACCCCAGGATCGCTTAGTGGTCTTGGAAGATACGGCTGTGGTGGCCATGAGTGGAGTCCTGGCAGACAGTTTGGCATTATTGAAGCAGGCACTGAATGATTGGGAAGATTTTAAGTTTGTGTTTGGAGACCAAGATCGTCCATCCATGATGCTCACCAAGATAGCAGAATCAATAGGAACTGCTTGTCATACCAATTGTTTCTCAGGAGGAATACGACCCTATGGTTCAACTATGCTCATAATGGGAATTGATATTGACGGGGCGACAGGAGGGGAAGACAAAAGAAACGATGCTACAGAAGCCTCCCAACCATTTCCATTTCGAATCATCCAGACTGATCCTTCTGGTGGTGTCAAATCAATTCCTCTACAATCCACTGACAAACAAAAATCACAGCAATTTTCTTCTTCCAGTGTTGATCTTTTGAAAATCACGGGAGGGAGCCATGATCTGAGGCTAAAGCTGGAAAAGGCCATCCAGAAACTGGAAGATGATCCCTCATCCACAATGTGGGAACGAATGCGATCCTTGGCAGCAATTCTCGTGGAAGCTCAGGAAGAAATGGACAATACTGCCTCATTCTTTGGATTGAAGAAACGAAAGAGACGCAATAAGAAGGATAGTACTGGTGAAAACCCAACACAGGCACGGCTCAACTACAAGTTCGAGGCAGTCATACTGTCGAGTAAATTGGGGATCCACCGACTCACAGAGGAACAGGTAGACCAACTCCTGAAGGAAGTTGACTCGATGTAACTAGAGCAGCTTGTACGGTTGTGGTTCTGCTCCTAGCAAGGAGGAAGCAATAATCTAGGAAGCAAGTGTAGCTATCTTTGATGGAACTGCACTACTTCATTCAAGGATTGCTAGTTTTCCTCGATTGTATTTCGATTGAAAATTGGCCTGCTGCGTCAGACGAAGACGAATCTTCACAGCGCACCACATAAACCCCCGCAATGCCATCGCGCAACGTCTCCTCCGAGTTTGGTAGCCCCGCATCTTGAGTCAGTGGGGCTTAATCTCCCAAAGACTATCCTTCCAACGCCTCCGTAGACCTCTGTCTTGTCAGCATCTCATATACCTGGAAGACAGGGCCCTGGTTGCTGAAAAGCGGAGTAACGTACTGCCAGCTAGAAAAGGGATCGTGCATCCTTGGAAAAGCACCTCTGCAGTTGGGCAATCATATCTTCTTGGTCAACGTCCAATCACTCCCAGCATGCCCTCTGGTACACGGATATCCCATCACCTTTACGAATCCTGGGCTATCTAGACACCAGGTCCTTGCTGCAAGCAAAATCCGTCAAATTTGCTTAGATTTTCCAGTCCAAGGATCGGTTTTAGTCGTATACAACATTGTTAGGGATGGGGATCGTGCCAAACACTACCTCGAAACACAGGTACAGAATCGCCGTATGTACAAGCTTCGTAGCGCTGGTAGGGTGCTTCATTTGGGATCCAGTGATCCAAAGCCTCGCTCTCCTTCTTGGGCACATTGACACGATCTCTTCTCCTCGTCGCGTTTGATTTGTGCTTTGTACCGAAGGAACTGCTCTCACAAAATCGAATCAAACAACATCTTCTGGCTCACATCGACTAACTTAACCAACATGTATCTCAAGTCTGTTTTTCTAACCGTTGCCCTGGCCAGCAGCTTTGCTGCAGCCCATCCTCACCCACCGCATCCTCACCCAAACTGCACCGTCGGAATTGACACTGAGGCGTGCACGTTGCCCGATGGTGGCGCCGGAATGTTCGTCTGTCGCCCGCGCCCGCCTCATGATGGAAAACACCATGGTGGAGGCGGAATCGGAGGAGCATTCCTTCGCGTTGTGGATCGATTCACCGGTCATCACCCACCACCACATTCACATTCGGAGGACGAAGCACACTTGGGCCCACCCCATCACGGACATGGCCACGGAGACCATCATCACGGGGGAGACAAGGAGGAGCATCATCATTGGGGCGAAAAGGAGCATCACCATCACGGACCTCATCGCCAACTTCGTTCCGGAAGCAGTAGTAGTAGCAGCAGTAGTCGCAGTGGGCCTCCCGGACCGCACCATGGAGGTCGACATGGACACGGACCGCATGGCAGCAGTCGCAGTGGGCCGCATCATGGTGGTCGACATGGACACGGACCACATGGCCATGTCCCACCAGACTTTTTGTCCCCCAGTCATTGCGTTCCTGTGGACGGTCCTCCCAAGGATTTCCCCCCACCTCCCCACCACGACCACCATCACCCTCCTGCCCCAACCTGTGGCTGCTGCGGTGATGTCTGCCCCGTCAAGTTGGATTGTGGCTGCGGTGGTTGCAAGGTCCAGCACGGAAGGTTTGCCGGCACGGAAGGCGTTTGGGTGACTGTGACATCATTGCGAGATGAGACTACCAAGGTCCGCAAGTGCGTTCCTGCTGGAGCCTATGTCGATGCCGATTCCAACCGAGTTCAGTGCGTTACCGAGTGCTCTGAAGACATGGTAGAAGACGAGGGTCCTGTGGATCTCTTTATGGAAGATCGCTTTGGAGGCGACGAAGATCTCGAAGAGAGGGAGAGCCGTGATTAGAGACCACGTCGACGAACAAGAGAGCCAGCCATGTATGCATAAGAACCGTAGAGTAGAAGGGCAGCCTGTGAGCAAGCCAGTGGAAGGACGACCCCTAGTAGCAGATAGTTTTGACTCACATGAACTAAAAAAGAATTCATGTTTTCAACGTTGACGGGTAGATCCATTTGATTTCGCCATAGAAAAGTGTAGCCACCTAGCTAGCCAGATGCTGTTGCTCTCCGTTCGTGTAGATTCCACTGGATGATGACTGTTCCAACCCACCACGCCATTTTTTGATTGATAGGAGCTAGCTAGTACAGTGTAGCTATTACTGCTGCTGCTTCTCCTCTTGCTCCTGCTCCCACAAGACCCGAAAAGGCCTCGGACAGGCATCAATCTTGGGCACCACCATTTTGGCAATTTGGGTTCCTTGATCGGGATGACAGGATTGGCAGAGTCCCAAATTGGCGGCAGTACTCAAAAAGACGAAGGCTTCTTCCTTGGTGAATCCCCACTGGCGTACCAGCAAACAAGCCGCTTCTTGACACGCGATATTGGTAGTCTGTGGAATGTTTTCCTCCAAGACACCATGGGTAATCCAATGGGTGGCCGTTTCCGTGACGGGAAATTCGGGAAGCGATTGTGGAATGTCATTATTATTGGAGGAGGACAGCGGCAGCAAGGATTCCTTCTTGAGTATGCCACATTTCAAGAGCACATGCCCTCCAATTTCGACCCCCGTGCCACTGATTTCTCCATCGCCCTGACTGGCATGCATATCTCCCACACTGAGCAATGCCCCGGGGTGCTGGACTGGAATGTAAATGGTGGCCCCAATGCCATGACAATTATTGTCCATATTGCCTCCGTGTTTCCCTGCTGGCATGGTCAGTATGGGATCACCCTTGGGTGCCACACCAATGACTCCCAGCATCGGTCGTTTGGGAAAGCCAATGGGAGCTATTCGTCGTGAGGCAGCAGTGTCTTCTTTCATAATGACCGTGTCGCCCTTGACTTGAAAGAATTTGGTGGTAATTTCCTCTGTCATCCAATGACAGAGTTGACCACTATGGGTGCTACAACAGGCCACACCTTCTCCTTCCGGTCGGATATCCAGCAATTGTACGGCCAACCAATCCCCGGGCTCGGCTCCGTGGACGAAAATAGGACCCGTCACGGGGTTCAATTGTTCGCGTGGAATGGCGGCGAGCACTTGGTTGGGATCTGCGTGTGACGATTGAACGGCACCATGGAAACAGTCATATGTTTCGACGTGAATGAGCTCGCCCGGTTGTACGGAAAGCACGGGAGGAAGACTGCCATCAAAGTAATTGTGCGTGTTGTGAAACTTGGAGACAAAGTGCTGGGCTTGAGGAAACACGGTGGATGGAGTATTCGCTGGACTTTTCATGGCAGAAACTCTCACTAGTACGACTACTAATAGTAAACGACAAAGTCCACCAAAACGAGGCAAGAAACAGGAAGTTGAAACCATGCATTCAACAGAGACTTGCTTCCCTTGCACATGGGATGACTCTTTGGTTGAAGACTCGGACTTCGGCGATTTTGCTTCGGCATTTTTGGCATTCAGTCTAAGCCAGTTGAGCAGCTTAATTACAAATCTTTCAGAGTTTTTTCTTTGAAGAGCTTCCAGAAGTTCAGGAGTTTTGTGAGGCTTGGAAAGACAGGTTGAGACTGCCTTTCGTGCGGTTGCCAAGTACGGCTACGGATGGAATCATAATGGAAGCATCATACATGAGATCCACAACCGGTGCGGAGAGCCTCTGGTACCGATAGCAGATTGCACCGGTTGTTCAGTCCATTAGGTGCCACCAGTTGAAACCGTAAACCGTAGACTATTTTCACAATAACTGGTTCCTTGGTTGTTTGCTGCTTATTGTTTGCATCAGCCCCTTACTAGCTAGCTAGCTACTAGTCAAGGAAAGCCAGAGCTTTCCGAGCAACTTCCATACCAAAGAAACAGGCTGCATTGGCAGGGAATGCACGGATCAAAGCAGGGCGAATGCCCGTGAAGAAACCTCCAATGCCCTCTGTCTTGATCACTTCGGAATAGACATGCATGAGACCCGTGTACGTTCCTTCGGGAGCTGATTGGTATCTAGATTTGAGCACATCAGAAGGGATGGCCACAGTCCAACATGCCATTCCAGCCAATCCACCCGCCGATAGAACCGCCAATGGAGACAGAGTGCCAGTGGCAGGATCGATTCCTTGTACACGCATCATTTCCTTCTTGGCGTACTCATAAACGCCAAACCACGCCATACTGCCCGGGGTGTCCCTCATGAGAGTCAACACAGTCCCTTTGAATAAACTACGAACACCTCCCTGTCGCAGAACCTGTGTGGTACAATCCCAGAATCCCTTGTAGGGATGATTGGGAACTTGCAACAAGCACTTGATTCTTTCACTGGGTGCCATGAGAGCCGTTGTGGGAATAGCACTCAGACCCCCTGCAACCACACATTGACTAATGGATAATGGAGCCACCGGTTGATCGTCATACCATCGAACCATACGTTGACCCATATCGTACCCCCAGAAACTGACAGCAAACATGGGAGATACCGCCAGGAGTGGGGCTGACACCCCACGATACAACCCGGCGATTCCTTCATTTCTCATAGTTTTACCCAGCACTCCAAACACAGAATTTCCTTTGACAACACCTGTTTGCATTCGCACCTATTATGTATTCAAAGTGGCAGGTACGGTCGTAGTATTAAGTGATGAGACAAAACAAAATGCCCTGATCAAAAATAAATTTGTGTGATATGCAGTGACTCACCTTCACAAGATCAAGGGGGTGACCAACGAGAACAATGCAAACACCACCAAATCCTCCACTGAGAAAACTCTTGAGGGCCGACTCCTCTGTAATGTAGTGGAAAATGAAGCAGAAGTGAGCAAACCATACTGTTAAAGTAAAAAAAATCTGACTGTGACTTACGCTTAGGGGCTGGTTTTGCCACTTCTTTTGTTTTTGCTTCCTCAGAAGACACCATGGTGGGAGATGGGATGACGGGGGTAGTTTCGGCTGCAGCAGACATGGTGAAATAAGAAAGACGGTCAGTATGACAATAAAGACTGTGGAAAAAGCAAAGGAGATAACCACAAAAAAATGAAGGGAAGACGGCGGCTGCACTCGAGAAAATGAGAAAACCTCACTGATCTATCTGCCTACAAGAACAGAAACCAACTTACTTAGACTACTTGGACAACAACAACACAGCAAAAGATGGGATTGGTGCCAACAAGAATTGGATTGTTGATGGCCGCCTGTCGATGATGCAGCGGGAAGGCTATTGAGGGAACTCTGTGATGGACAAGATCCGTGTGGCGTCATTGACGCCTTCCGGAACACATCTTCACACAGCTCAGAAGGTGAGGTAAACATAGGGGAAAGGATAATGGAAACTTGTTTTACCGTATCTACCTGACATCCAAAGCTGACACCTCAACTTTCAAAAGATCTTTTTTCAAAGCGCAGATCTTCCGCATCTTTTCAAGCCGTCACAAAAACCTGTAGGAGTATCCTTGCCTGACACCATGGTATCCTTGTCGTCGATCGAAGTCGTCTTGCTAGTATGCAGCATCCTTGTTTCCGGGGCAAGCGCCTTTGTCGTTTCTCCCAATCAGCAGCAGCAGCAGCCACCAACATGCAAGAGCCGCCTGTTCCTGTGGTTCCCCGATGAAGGCATGGAAGTGGCTCGCAAGACGTTTGGTTGGTGGCTGATGGGCGCAGCCGGATCGGGAGGTGCCGCTCGAACGACCTTTCCGAACATTTACCGCGAATACATGGAATTGCAAGAACTCAAGGGCTCCAACGGTAGTAGTAATAATAACAAAGACGGTCCCACCCTTGGAATTGGACAAGGCTTGGGATTCCCCGAAGATGTCTCCGTGGCGGATGTGGAACAGATTGTCAATAATCCACTGACGGTCGAAGAAATCACCCAACAGTTTCCCGTGGAAAATAATTTCTTGGCGGCCAAGGGGTACTTGACATACAGTGCCTTTTCCCTGGCCAACGCCGACGCCAATCCCTTGGCGGTTCGAGCTGTCTTTGATAGTTTTCGAAAACCCAAATGCGTCGAACCTCACGTCGCACAACAACTGTTGAATGAATACAAACAAGATCCCACCCAGATTCGACAAAATCTCATTATTAAACAGGCCACCTTGGTCATGGCGGCATCGTCGCTCTTGTTTTTGCTTGGATTGGCCGATCTCGCCACGGCATCCGACTTTTATCGAGGATGGTTCCCCGATTGGCCGGGTGGAACCGATTTTCCACGCATGTGTTCACACCCGAAGGAAGTATCGCCACCATTCCAGATTACTTTCTGTGGGATATTCCACCGGGTCGACTAGTATGTACGGTGTATAAGCTAGAACCATGGATGGATGGATCATACGGAGATGATCAGAGTTCTATCCAGAACTTCGGTGGCTTCCTGCGTGGCACCGATAGCATGCGTCCAGCAACATTGCTTGGAAGCGGATCCTTACGGTAGAATAACACAGTAGCAGCTATATATTCTCCATTATTGCGTGTCCATGATGTGCACTCGTGCAGTTTAGATGTTTCATTATAAAGTCTACTGTGCCGGTGCCGGAACCTCCCAACTTGAAACAGTTTTTTCAGCTGCGTGCGTTCAAGATTGCTCCTGGTCAATTGGCAATCTCTCGCTGGTTCGTCATCACTTCCATGATTGTCACCACATTATTGTGAAACGTCTGTCTTCCAAGAAACTTCCCAGTGAACGAAACATGCTGGACACGGCCCCAAAGGGTTCTTCTTCTTGTTTGGCCGGTAAGCAGTTGCATTCAACGATGTGAGGAGGCACCTGCTGCCGTTGATGTCCAACGTCATCTTGGGGCTTGGCTCTTACAGGAACCCTCATGTTCCACAACCAGAAGACATTGTCAAGGGTGCTCGAGTCAGAACTACTACTGGAGCCAATGCTATGCGAGTCCTCTTGTCCTTGATACTCATCGTCCTTGTCGTCGCCAAAATCTGAACCTGAGAAAGATGACGAATCGTCTTCTGCTGTAGTACTGGTGGTATGATCCGTGTCCTCCATACTCTTCTTATCCGTGCCGTTCTCTTTGTTTTGGTCGTCTTCCACCCACGCACTGTCCACACCCCATTCACTCAGAGCTCCTGCTGTGATACCACTGGTGCAGCCAACTCCAAAGGCCACGACTGCAGCCACGGGCAGACTGGCTCCCGCAACACCCACCATGATTGCTCCCGTCACCACTTGTCCCACAACACTTGCTGTCGTGGCCGATCCAAATACTGCCAAACCCTTGACCACTTCTTTGGAGTTCTGGGTGTGCAGTCCAGTGCCCACTCGATTGGCCGTAATGGCGCCTCCGGCCAAATATCCTGCAATGCCACCTCCACCCGTCACGGTCACCACTAAATTGACCAACGCAGTGCGGCCCAAGGCACGAACAATCTTCCCATCGCCTCCTCGGTGAGGGTCAAAGTCAGACCAGAATCCAGTCCAAACGGTATGGTCCACTGGAAGATGGGTGGTGGTCGATGTGTTGGTGATAATGGCTTGCGACGATGACATGATACTTGGTGTGGAGGCAGAAGAATCGATTGAATCAATCATTCGATTTGACGAACCTCGCAATTCAACTGATGGAAGAGAGTACCGTTGAAATGTGAAGGGAGTATATGTACTCTTCGTTTTCTGCTGTACAGCAGCATATTCAAGGGATGATGGATGATGAGTCAATGCTTCGTCCCCTGCGGTGAGCCTGTTTCATGGATCATCCATGAACCAAAATATAAATGTGGCTGAATCAGATTCAGAGCTCTCCCTCTGCGGTAATCCTGAGCTGGCCTTGACTTTTATGACAACGAAACATGGATACCTGAATTCTGCACGAACGCCACGTCATGCCATTCAAGGAAAGTGGAGCTTGGGATGACTACGGCAGGCAGCAGCGCAACTGGAGGCTTTCAATGGCAGCACAGCTATGATATTCCCAATGAGGACTGTGGTCGTAATAAGTGGTCAAGCAATTGCAGTTCTCACCAAGCAACTTGCAGTATCTGGGGTGGGGACACAGAGTTGGAAACCATGGCTTGATTACTGCTGCTCACGTATGTAACAGAATTGCTTTTTTCAAGCTTGACCAGCGGTCTCCATGGTCACCACCGAGGTGCCGCCGTGGCTATGCCAAGGCACGCACTCAAATCAGAGGCTCCTTCTTCGGATGATACAGCCGGTACCGGTACAGCTGTCGGTAGCTTCCGTAGATAGTAATCTACCTACTAGACTAGCTAGCTAGTTGCCTACGCTAAACAGCTCTCTTAAACCCTTTCTCTCGGATGAGTGAGGAATAGGCAACTCTGGAATAAGAAATACTAAATAGATACGTTAAGGAGCGAGGGGGGCTACTCTGGCGATTAAGTTTGAGAATTCTCAAACCTACGGGCTCCAACACAAATCTGAAGATCAAGTTGAGAATTCTACAATCACCCTAACCTAAATCATCAAAAATCCTGCTGCTGATTCTGAGGAGTTATCACATTTTTCAAAATTCTCAACTTTTCGTCACAGTAGTAGGGATCGACCATTTTACGGCATCAAAGTTTTTAAAAAGTGTACTAGTCTCTAGCTAGTAGTATTAATATTGCATTCCTTGAATTCCGGATCTCTGAAGCTTTTAATTCGTACGGTGCGGCACATTACAATGCAGTGCGGTGCAGTGTGGTACGGTGAGGTGCACACAAAAATCGTCAATGAAAATTGTCTGCGAAATACTAAACAACTTTCCACTGGTAATTCAGAAGTAATACATACAATACTGAAAGTGTTCGGGAGCAGTGTTCCAGAGAAACTGGTATAGCCAGCATGTAACATGTACAGTGCACCGTGCTACTAGTACCACCTTCCTTTAAAACTCCTGGAAGATGGACAGACCACGATACTTCTACATTTTGCCGTATGTAGAACTCTGGTACTCCTCCGATTCTACCCCGAGGAGCCTGAGAAACTGGTATATGTCGGGCGCAGCCCGAAGTATCGGGCGCAGCCCGAATGAGCTCCCTGAAGAGGAAAAGAGGGAGAGAGGGAGGGAAAGAGGGAGGGAGAGAGGAGGTCAACACTCAACAATCATTTTGTGCTCAATGAGACTAGTGCAAAGCTTCCCATCATGACTGATTCGACATGTTGAACGCCCTGTTGCTTTGGAGCTCCTGTGTAAGGGTGCTTTTTCTGTTGTACTGGTACCGTGTACCATTATCGATTTGGTGCTAATGTTGTTCGGAGAGCTCTACGATATTTGTGATTCTTTGGTGGCTAGAAAAGTCAATTTGTTAACTCTTTGGCTGAGGCTTCCTTCATTTCCTATGTTTTGAGAGGATGAAGAAATGCTCAGCCGGTACTTTATTGTAGGTAGATACCAAACGTCACTTCTTGTGTAACCTGCGGACCCCATGCAGTGTCCGCACCAGGTGGTTTTTGAATGGAAGCTCCACCGTCCTCGCTCCACTCCTCATTATTATTGTTGTGACTTCTCTGAGAGACCGACTTGCACAATTTTAAGAGATGCACCACCAATTGCATGAAAAGCACAACAAGCATGATCACCATGGTGCTGGTCGCCGTTCACTGAGCCCAGTTGGATTGAGCTTGAGCGTGGAGAGTGGCTGGATGATGCGAGTGGCTGGATGATGCGAGTGGCTATGTATAGGCTATCAGAAGCGTTGGATCGATCACTCTCAACCGAAGCCTCAAACAGTTACTATTACGAGTGTAAGTCTATTATTGAAGTGTAACTCTATTATTGAAGGGGCAGCACTGACTTCTCATTGTATTCATATAGTAAATCCAAGCTTGACCGACAGCAGTCCTATGAGTATACCAGTATCCAAGCGGATTGATCGATTGAATTAATCACAATGAGGTAATAAGCCTATTATCGAGAGTGTTATTGATGTGTAGATTCGAAAGCCATTCCTCATTGAGTCAACAGGTGAGTTTTCTTAATTATTCTAATTGAATCGATCACACCTCTGGTATCCAAGTCGACTGTCTCCGGTGCAGAATGGAAAACCATCGCTCATTGAATCCTATGGACTATGGGATGGCAGTCAGTTCTCGGCCCATTATAGTCAAGTTGGAAACACCATTGTAAAGTCCTTTGACGACTCGATTGGTCGATCGATTGCAAGAGGATGAGAAGGTCAATCACGACAACACACAAACGCATCTACGGAAGAGATGGATAACGCCAGCCCTTCGACTTTTGTGGTTGTCGAGACATTGAATGGCGACAATCAACCGGAAAAGGTGGCAGCCCGATAACACACAAGCACAGAGGAGTGAGAGTGGATCATTCTAATGGATTCATTCCTTCTTGTTATTTCCTAGTATTTTGGTAGTGATTCCTGTGTCGGTACGATGTACACTGCGCATGCATATGCACAAGTACGGCTGAGTAAGTTCTTGTCCAGCGGTTTCACTACTGCCAGCAGGAGCATGTAATAGATCGCTACCTTAGCTAGCTAATAGAGTAATATATTAAGTAGAACAGCCTTGAATTGGTAACCAAATAGACCGTTAGCATACATGAATCTTAACATTGGTGGGCGCTATGTGAGCTGTCAATGGCTGTACATACATGTAGCAGCGGCTTAGCGGTGCATGCAGCCGTGGTAGCCGTTCTAATAGCCAGCATGTACCATGTACAGTGCACCGTGCTACTAGTACCACCTTCCTTTAAAACTCCTGGAAGATGGACAGACCACGATACTTCTACATTTTGCCGTATGTAGAACTCTGGTACTCCTCCGATTCTACCCAGAAATGTTCCCAAATTTTAGAGGAATGTGATTCACTGTGATTCACTGCTTAGCTCATTCCTTGATTGCAGGGTTTTTCAGCACGGTCATTGTGACCTGGATCATGCACTTTGTCTTCTAAATCTTGGTGATACTGTAGTTGTGAAGCTGCTGTGCAACTGTAGTTGTGAGGCTTCCGTTCAGTCTTCTACATGTATAATTAAGAGCGCCGTCACTTTTTGAGTCGCTTCAACCCCGAAGCACAACCACAACAACAACAACAACAAC